CATCTTGTTCATATACTCATATCTTAATTCTTTCTTGCATATTGTTTGAAAAAAATATATATATATATTTCAAAATCGGCAAATCGGTATCTGAATTAGCCCATTTGCTTGTAAAAAAAAAAAAAAACATCAATAGGAATTGACGAGTGCAAGGAGCCACAGAGATTACAAGGTGCATTGGAGCATTTTTTGCTGGAAAATGCTGATATTTCTTAAAAAAAAAAAAAAAAAATCCTTTTCCAATTTAGTGCCCAAACTCTGGAACAGTCTTCCTAGCATTATTTGTTATCTTAAATCTAGATTAAAGACCCATCTCTTTAACCTGGCATATACATAACACACTACCACATTTCCATATTTCAAATCTGTTAAAGGATTGTTAGGTTGCATTAATTAGGTCAACCGGAAATGGAAACACTTCCCATACCACCCGATTTACGATTCGATTTACGACAATGTATCAACACTGTACGAAGAATGGCATCTATGCTAATTTTAGTCGGTCCGTTTCATTCTTATTCCGAGGTCACCGTAGTCACCTGGATCCAGTCCAAATCCAGACCAGATGGTGGATTAGCACCTAGAGACGACCTCTACAGCCCTGAATGTCAGCGGAGACCATGTCAACTACAGTAGATGCGCCCCATAGACAGATCCCCTGCGAAGACCTCATCACCTCGACGACCATCGGCACAAGACAACGGGAACCAGACAAGTCCTCTGCACCTGTGTTGCAGCCTGGAATTAAACCACGCCATGCTGGTTTCGTCTGCAGGAGAACTGGCCCCCCAACTGAGCCTGGTTTCTCCCAAGGTTTTTTCTCCATTTCTGTCACCGATGGAATTTTGGTTCCTTGCCACTGTCGCCTTTGGCTTGCTTAGTTAGGGACGCTTGACTGATTGCACAGACACTATTGGAAGTTGGAGTTGAACTGGATGATGACATCACTGAATCATCAATGAACTAACTTTAGCTGGAAAACTGACACTGTTATTGTCTTCTTACATTATTGACAAACAAATTTTCCTGTTTGACACTGTAAAGCTGCTTTGACACAACCAGTATTGTACAAAGCGCTATACAAATAAAGGTGACTTGACTTGCCCTCTAGTGGAGCTCATGGGCACTCCAGCTGGTGATCGTAACAGCTATAGAGACTCAAGCCTTTAGTATTTTAGCATGCAATGTAATAAAAATTATGGCATGCAATGAAAAAAATAATAATACTCTATTTAAATGTTAATACTTTGTTTAAACTAATTTTAGTTGTGGTCACAGATTTGCATATATTGACTATTTTATATATGGGGTATAAATTAGACTATAAATTTGAATAGCATTATCTTTGTGGACATCCATAGAGTTATCAATTAAAAGAAAAAAGTTGAGTTAAAGGGGTCATTAACTGCATTTTTTTATTATTATTTTATAATGTTCTCTGAGGTTCACTTATAATGTTAGTGTGATTTTACATTAAAAAACATCATAATTTAGAAGTAATAGAACAGACAATGGAACAGACAATGCAGTAGTGGTAAAAGCACGTTTACTCACATTGAGTACGTTTACATGGAGAACAATAATCCGATTTTAACACGATTAAGGCAATACTCTGATTAAGAATCTACCATGTAAACAGAGATTTTTGATTACCTTACTCCGGCTAAAGTACTATTTGAAGTAAACAGAAATCGAATTAAGACATGTGGAGTATTCCTATTTTAGTCGCATTATTGAAGTGCAGTATAGACATGTACACACCTTAATCACACTATTACAGCATTTTGCAACAGGATACACACACAGCAGTGGTCAACCGTTTGACAGCCAACAAAAGAGCATGGCTTCAACAACGCCGTCATCTGTTTGCACGTATAGTATGACAAAGAATTAACTGCACTTGAAGCTTTCGTAAAATAAAAAACGAAACACCCAAAACTGTATATGGCATCATAACGAAGACAAACTATATGTTTATACGTGAAATTCTGGGTTGGATGTCGGATGGCGTGGCGTGGGGACGTAATGACGTGTGCCATTAATCGATCTATGTACTATAACATGTAAAACGGGAACATGAAAGGAATATTCTAAAAGCAACTCATGTAAACACCTTAATCGTAATATTGTCTTATTCAGAATAAGGTAAATAATT